CATTCAGTAAATGCACCCTCCAGAAACAAAGAAAAAATAACAAAACAATGCTCAATGAAATAAATCTAGGAAATTTTCTTGCTAGTTTGTAGGAGGCCATGGGAGTATACAGCAGGTGACAAATAGTATTTAACAGGTCGACCCACCAGCCTCACCTGATGAAGAGCCCAACCTGGCAATGCCATGGAGTCACTGACTGTAAATGACTGGTTGTTCCTGTCTGTAACTTTTCTCATGTGCCACTTCATTTCTTCCCTAATTGTGGCGAGCCACAGGAATACGAAATAGAAGTCCAGCAGTATATTATAAGCTATACCTTGATGAGCCAAGGGTCAGTCGAGTGGGAAAGCCAATCAGCAAGGTCTATTGGTGTTAGGCGGCTTAATATTCAGTTGTGTCTTGCTATTAATTCCTTGTGCTCATAATTCTCCTAAAGAGTGTGTGTGTGTGTGTGTGTGTGTGTGTGTGTGTGTGTGTGTGTGTGTGTGTGTGTGTGTTCTGCCTCTGAGCTCCAGGCCCCCTCTTTAGCACTTGTTTTGGGGTGTCTGCCTTTCGCAAACACCCTCCTTGAGCTACTTCCTAAGATAAAGTCAGCCCCAAACAAAGTCTTAAAAGACAAGCAAGGAACACACAGCTACCAGGCCATCTGTTAGATGCCTGAGAACCCCCCAACTTAGATAGAATGTCCTTTCTGGGACTACATGCCTCACAGGCCAAATGCCTACCAACCAGATGAACAAGCTTTGTTTCTTGTGCAAATCACGGCCTCCCCTCTCTCACTGCCCCAGAGAACCTCTTAGATCAAAGGGAGTTTCCCCTCAGCAGGTGTTTCAAGCTCTGATGCAGACTGACTAGCTATCTGTACTGTGTCCCCATCCCGTCCCGTCCATCCGACCCCGTCCCCGCCCTGTCAGGAAACTGGCGGCAGAGGAAAAAAGTGAGTTTTACCTTTTAGTAACCTATAGACTTTCCCGACCCTATCACCTGTATGTCTATAGTTGATAGATTCTCAATGTCTTCACCTGACCACCATAAGGATACATTTCTAGCACATAAATTCCTTTTCTGATTTATCCCAACTACTAACTGACTCCACTCTTATCTCTCCCCTTTTAGGTTGCAAATAAAGTTGCCAGGAAGCCTCTAGTGGGGACCCTTACAATCTTGTGCTGTACACAAAACGTAAGGTGTTACTATCTGGGATAGGATATAAACCAGTCCCAGGGGAAGGAGAAGGAGGAAGGACTGAAGGGAGGAAGGACTGAGGATGAAGGATTGAGGGACTGAAGATGGGAGAGAATTAGGATTGGAGAGAACTAGGAATGGAGGGAACAGAGAATTGAGGGAATGAAGAATTGAAGGAATACGGAATGGAAGGACGGAAGAACTGAGGGAACTAGAAACTGAAGACTGAAGAATTGAGGAATTGAAGATCAGAGAGAATTAAGAATTGAGGGAACAAGAAGGGAACTAAGGAACTAAAGAGAGATCTGAGAAAGTTGAACTGGTGACTGAATGATGGTGACTGAGGAATAAGCGAACTGAACTAAAATGCTCCGAAGCAACTGGATTCATTCCCATGCCATTGGCAGTGTCTCTCTTGGGCCCCTGGATTTGTATAAATTTAAGGCTGGACCTTAAATATTATACAAAAACCTAATAACAGCTATGGGTATGTCCCCCACTTCTTTTGTGTTTAGCTCATAAAAATATTCCATCTTTGGGCACACATATAGTTGTGGATGGTCAGGAAGATGATTTGTTTAAGTTGTATAATTCCGATGATTAGAAATAATACTAGAGGGACTGGAGAGATGGCTAGGAGGTTAAGAGCACTGCTTGCTCTTCCAAAGGTCCTGAGTTCAATTCCCAGCAACCATATGGTGGCTCACAACCATCTGTAATGAGATCTGGTGCCCTCTTCTGGCCTGCAGGGATATGTGCACTGTATACATAATAAATAAATAATTTAAAAAAAAAAAAAGAATACTAGAATATTTTCCATAACTGACATAGGAAAGTAACAGTATTTTCAGTCACAAAGATGCTAATTTTAGACTTCAGAACAAATTCAAAACAGACTAGCAGAGAATACACAAAGATTAAGTTCCAGGTGTTTACTGATGAATCAAGGTCAGAACTGAAGCGACTTTGGTAGACATAACCCTCTGCAGCAATTCTCTTTCTGCATGTACCCCAACCACAAGGTTCAGCCAACTACTGTTACTGTTAAGTCTTGAATTTCAATGTCATTCTCTGTCTGGGAACACTAGCCACTCAGGCTATGTGCTTGGCCAAGTGTTACTCACTAACTGGTCAGCGTGACCTTCCTAGCCTGAGAAAAACTGTGTGACATCATGTGTTATGAGAATGGGTCAGACCCTGAATATGTAACATATAATTGTCCAGAGTTTGGCTGTGAGAGGAAGGAGGAGGAGTGAGGGAGTATGTGAGTGAATGTGTGTGTGCTGAAATGGAGATGTAGCTGAATTTGCAGAAGCAATAATGGGGGGGGGGGGAGAGAGTTTGTGTGCTGAAAGACTGATGTAGCTGAATATGAAGAAGTGAGAGAGTAAGTAAGAAAATGAGTGAGTAAAGAGTGAGTGATGGTGTAGAAGAAGTGTGTGTGTGTGTGTGTGTGTGTGATGACAGAGAGAGGGAGCTGTGTGAAGGAGCTGCTGCTATGTAGAGGACCTGTGTAAAATAAAGAACTTGTGTTACAGTGGGGGGGGGGGGGGGGGGGGGGGGGAGATGTGCAGAGGGACCTGAGAAGAGAGAATGGGTAGCTAGGCAGGGACAGAGCAAGAGAAATTTTTCAGAGAACGAGCCTTTTTTTTTTTTTTTTTTTTTTTTTTGTATTTTGAGATTTTTTTTTTTTTTTTTTGGTTTTTCGAGACAGGGTTTCTCTGTGTAGCTTTGCGCCTTTCCTGGAACTCACTTGGTAGCCCAGGCTGGCCTCGAACTCACAGAGATCCGCCTGGCTCTGCCTCCCGAGTGCTGGGATTAAAGGCGTGCGCCACCACCGCCCGGCCAGAGAACGAGCCTTTTTTTTTTTTTTTTTTTTTTTTGGTTTTTCGAGACAGGGTTTCTCTGTGTAGCTTTGCGCCTTTCCTGGAACTCACTCGGTAGTCCAGGCTGGCCTCGAACTCACAGAGATCCGCCTGGCTCTGCCTCCCGAGTGCTGGGATTAAAGGCAGAACGAGCCTTTTTAAGGTGAAGAAAAAGAGAAAGTTACCATCAGAAAGTGTGTGTTTCTTTTCTTTTCCCCCTCAGATATAGAAAGTCTAGCCCTCAGATAGATAAGACTTTTCCCTAAGCCCTTGACGCATTCATGGGTTTTTTTTTCATACCCTGGGTAGCTAGAGGCTGCCTTCCCCCAAGCTACTGATACTAGTTGAACTACTTTTAAAACTGACTAACAGAGGACCAGGAGAGGGCAAGGTGTGGTGGTGAGAGCCTTTAATTCCAGCATTCAGCAGGCAGAGGCAGGCAGATCTCTTTGAGTTCAAGGATAGCCTGGTCTATATGGTGAATTCCAGGCCAGCTCGAACTACACAGTGAGGCCTTGTCTTAAAATAGATTAGATAGATAGATAGATAGATAGATAGATAGATAGATAGATAGATAGATAGATAGAGATGCATCATTTAAAAATAGATGTATGTTTTAAAAATCAGATTTTTATCTGGGCATGTTATCTGTCCAGACTACACTGGTCAATGTCAATATTTATTATCATTCATTTAAAATAAATAAACATGAAAACAGTTCATAAGGCCGAAATAAAGACAAACCAATCTGTACCATTGCTTAAACTGGAGAAAAGGATCAGTTAAACCAACAAAGCACCAGCTTCCTCAGAGCGCGTTTGGCCACCATCACATTTGCTGATTAAGTCAAATCGGGTGAGTGTAAAGAAAATGGCGACCGGTCCCCAAACCTGGCGTTCCACTGCCCACTGCAGATGGAGAAACCCCAGAACAAACTCATCATTCTCTAGTTTTATAAGGCTGAAGACTAGGGTTAAAGTAAGTTTAGTTCTTATAAACTGAAGTCATGTTGAAAAAGCATCATTTATCGGGTAAGTGTAGACCTCTTAAGCAAAATAAAACGTATTTATTATTCATGCTATTTGTTTAAATATATCCTCCTTGGATTTAATTACAGTTTTCACTTCTAGCATATGAACATAAATCCTGAGCCTAACACATTACTCTCTAATTTTAGCTATTAATTCACCCCATCTGTCCCTACTTCAGAAACTATCAGTGGATAACGCAGCAAAAAACATGGGAGACTTGTTGCAAACTCTCTGGCATTGTAATACTGTTCTAATGGCAAAAAAATAGAGAAAGAACAGAAAACAAACATCCGAGATGTGTCGTCTGCCAGCTGCTTGCTCCTTGAGGGTGGGTCAGGCTGCAGCAGGCCTCAGTAAACTAAAATGTGACCGTAGAAAGCAGCTGAGGTTGGCTGCAGTGGTGGAGAGGGCCGGGCTGTCGCACATAATAGGAAAATCGGCTGAGGTGAAATTAAAGGAGAGAACACAGAAAGCTGTGCAGAGGGTGAAGAGGAGACTACGTCAGAACAAAAAGAAAGAAGAAGAAGAAATCCAGTTAGCAAACTGTCTAAGGTGAAACGGGACAGCAGACATTCTGGCTGTGAGACCATCAAAGGAAAACCCTACAGGGCAAGCATCGTAGTGTTTAATTGGACATTGTTTGCACTTGCAATTAATTATCCTCTTCTCTCCAACCTTCATTGTAAGCCTTTGTATTCCTGCACAGAATTCTAGTGTGAAGAGAAAAGAGAGGGTACACTAATGAAAATTTATTTAAAAACCGAAGTCTTTGCTTATGCTGACTTGCTATAGACAAAGCTGTAAGAAATCATATTTGCCAGACTGAGCAATATCACAATAATAAAGCAAAGGATGGCTCTGAGGATGTAAACCCTTCTCACTATGCAGGCATCTGGAGAGGGTTTCCATCCTACCTCACCTGTAGGATCAGAGAGCAGATTATCTTTCCATATTGTAGGAAGGCCAGAATTCAAAGATAACCCTTGGTGGAGTACTTTACAAGTTTCAGAGCCTGCAGAGACAGATGGAATGAAGTGCTTCAAAAAAAAGCAATCACAATAGAAAATCGTAAGTATGACTTACCTAGAACATCTTTACTTACAAGATTTTTATCTCGTGCAAAGCTACACAGAGAAACCCTGTCTCGAAAAACCAAAAAAAAAAAAAAAAAAAAAAGATTTTTATCTCATTAAATCACTCAATCATTATGATGCACAAACTAAATGCTAAATTTCAGTGAACAGCATGTCGTGCTAATGGCAAAAGAAAAATGGACTGATAAAAATTAGCAAGACAAAGACCCGTTAGGAGATGGAAGTTCTGTACTAATTCAGGTAGGTATAGAGTTTTTAAAAGTCCAGCTCATTTACGACAATTACAAATTAAAATAATTAGAGATTACATTGATAAGGAATACCATGATTAGAATCTTAGAATTAGGCTGGAGAGATGGCTCAGAGGATAAGAGTACTGATTGCTCTTCCAGGTCCTGAGTTCAATTCCCAGCAACCACATGGTGGCTCACAACCATCTGTAATGAGATCTGGTGCCCTCTTCTGGCCTGCAGTCATACATGCTGTATACATAATAAATAAATAAATCTTTTTAAAAAAAGAATCTTAGAATTAAAACAGAAATGAAACATGCACATACAGGAAGGTGATTTCAACAAAGGTAGCCAGAACACAAAATAGGGAAAGGACAATCTCTCCAGCAAATGGTTTAAAAAAAAAAATCAGGGCCAGGCGGTGGTGGCGCACGCCTTTAATCCCAGCACTCGGGAGGCAGAGCCAGGCGGATCTCTGTGAGTTCGAGGCCAGCCTGGACTACCAAGTGAGTTCCAGGAAAGGCGCAAAGCTACACAGAGAAACCCTGTCTCGGAAAAAAAAAAAAAAAAAAAAAAAAAAATCAGGAAACTCACATGCAAAAGAATGAGAATGCACATTGGGGGAAATGTTATATGACCACACACAACAACAGATTGACTGCATCCCCATCTAAATCCTAATGACATTCTTCACAGAACTAGAGCGAATGCCTCACATACTAGATCGCGGGGTATATTCCAGAGCCACAGGAACAAAAGTGACATGGTGCTGACACAAAAACGGACATGGGAACACTGTAATACAAGACTGAGAAAACCAGCCAGTGGTAGCAAGCTACTTCTTGCCAAGCTCCCAAAGGCATCCTTCAGAGAAAGAGACTGACAGACAGTGCTGAGAAACTGGCTTTCTACGTGCAGGAGAATGAAACGGGATTCATTTCCCCACCTTTCATAAAAAAATCAATCCAAAATGGATCAAAAAACTTTCAAACTGCTATAGGAAAATATGGATAAAACACTTCAAGATACAAGGACAGGGACTGGATTGATGGACCAGCCATTAAGAGCTCAAACTGTGCTTCCAGAGGACGAGAATCTGGATCTCAGCACCTACGTCAGGTGGCTCACAATTCCCAAAAAGTCTAGCTCCAGGGGTTCTGATTACATCTTTTGGTCTTTCCAGGGACCTGCAGTCACATGCACAAATGCACATAATTAATTCAGAAATAAATTTTTAGTAGAGATAATATGCATAAACAGGATTTCTATAGCATAGGAAATAACGGCAAAGATTGACACATAGGATTGAATGACATTAAGAGGCTTTTACAAGTCAAAGCTAACAATCACCAGAGTGGAGAAACCACCTGGAGAATTGAGGGGAAAATATTTGCGAACTACACATCAGGCAAGGGATTAATACACAGGCTACATGCAAAGCTGTAAAAATTAAACACCTAAAACCCAAGTCATCCAATCAATAAATGAATTAATGGACTGAATAGACAGTTCATAAAAGAAGAAATACAAATGACCAATAAATATAGGAAAGTGTTCAATAGCCCCAGCCATCCTGGAAATGCAAATTAGAACCACCATGAGATTCCATCTCGCCTCAGTCAAAATGGCTTTCATCCAGAAAACAGTGAAGTGTGAAGATCTGAGTTCAGATCCCCAGTACCCACACAAAAGGCTGGCACAGCAGCTCACATCTGTAACTTCATCACTGGAGGAGCAGACATCCACAGATTCCTGCATAACACTGGCCAGACTGCCTAGCTTGAGTCAGTAAACTTCAGGTTCTTTAAAAGACCCTGAAAACTAAACTAACATGACTATAATTTTGATTATCATAGAAGATTACTTATTAATCTGTATTTTTAATTATCCATTACAATCTAAATGAGTTACACAAACATAATACCTCAAATGAGAATAGAAATATATATATACAGTATAACAAAATTAACTTTAAATTTGTATCAATAAACTAAAATCCATAGCAATGTAAAACATTTCAAACAAGTTGTTGCTCTTTAAAAGTAGGTTCAACAGCCGGGCGGTGGTGGCTCACGCCTTTAATCCCAGCACTCGGGAGGCAGAGGCAGGTGGATCTCTGTGAGGCCAGCCTGGACTGCCAAGTGAGTTCCAGGAAAGGCGCAAAGCTACACAGAGAAACCCTGTCTCCAAAAACCAAAAAAAAAAAAAAAAAAAAAAAAAAGTAGGTTCAACAATCTACCCTTTTATCCTATCATATCTATATCCTATATATCTATATCATATCCCCCTTTCTTCTTTTAGAAAGATATTGTATTTATAATTAACCTGTTCTAAATGAAAATATTGTTTTTTCTCTGTCCCACACTAGAGGGCTCTTATGATATGGGACACAAGAATCTGTCAACCTTTTCTTTTAGGAATATGCTTGGGTTTATAGAAGGAGTCAGCCAATTCCATCTCTAAAGCCAGCTTGGTATATCTGGGAATTTTGGGCATAATTTTTTTATACTACTTCCTGCTGGATGAGGGCACTATATTCTTATGGGGACATAAAGAAAATTTTAAGATTATGGAGTAGTCCGTGAGGCTGTATTATCTGAGCCAGTTGCCTTGAAACCATTCTGGATGTTGGATCATCTGGGCCTTGGTGTCACCTTTCAGGGGGTCTTGGCTGGTCAAACCTGATGTATCTTAATCTGGAACAAATCCATAGCCTCTTGCTTTCTGTGGAAACAAAAGCAGAGCCTCCTTTCCAAAGTAACATATCCTTATATCCAAATTTTGAAGTCATGATATCTTTAAAATATATATATTGGATTAACTCCGCTGTCTTTACAATCAACTATCTCTCTGCAGTTAAAAACCCCAAAGACGCCGGGCGGTGGTGGCGCACGCCTTTAATCCCAGCACTCGGGAGGCAGAGCCAGGCGGATCTCTGTGAGTTCCAGGCCAGCCTGGGCTACCAAGTGAGTTCCAGGAAAGGCGCAAAGCTACACAGAGAAACCCTGTCTCGAAAAACCAAAAAAAAAAAACCCAAAGACAACACAATCCAGAGTCTCTGTGTGATATCCATCTTTACGTGGCTTATTTTTTATATTATTTTTACTTTGTAAAGAATTTTTTTAAACTTTCATTTCTTTACTATAACAGTCTATATTCCCTTTTTTTCTCTTTCAAGCCTACATACATTTTTACACACACTGCAAGCCATTTAAAGTCTTGTTCCATCTGAATCTGTCTTTTTTTTTTTATAATTTATTTTATTTTATCCACATTGGTGTGAAGGTGTCAGATCTGCTGGAACTGGAGTTATAGACAGTTGTGAACTGCCATGTGGGTGCTGGGAATTGAACCCGGGTCCTCTGGAAGAGCAGTGCTCCTAACCCCTGAGCCATCTCTCCAGCCCTGAATCTGTCTTATTGTGAATCTATTTCTAAGACTGAAACAGCCGCTGTGGCTGCTGGTTCCGCCCAAGCCCTCTTTCCAACATGGCGGTAGTGCGTTTACCGCCAGGTCTAGGAGCCAACTCTCAGAAGCAGTGGGTCTATGGTTCTATCAAAGCAATGTGTAGCCCAGAAACCTCTCTCTTTTTTTTTTTTTTTTAGACTAGCAAACGCTAACTCCACCACGCACCATGTTGCACGGCTTACAGAAACCTCTGTGTAACTAGGCGGAAATAGACCAAGCCCACAAGTCGCGAGTCCGCCATAGCGTAGCTGAAGCCCACATATTGCGGCATCTCGCCACCCGCATGAGACATGTTTCCGGCTCCTTTTAGAATTGGTTATTAAGTATTTTCAGGTTTTAGGTGGAAACTCGAGCCGTTGGGTGCCATTGTAGCTAGAGTTTTCCTGCCTGGCCCACGGTCAGGACAAATCTCTCACCTGCCAGTTCCACAGCGGCTCAAACCCAACCGAGTGAACACATAGAGATTTCTATTACTTATAAACTGTATGGCCGTGGCAGGCTTCTTGCTAGCTGTTCTTATGAAAGGCCCCAGCATACCTAACGCCATTTTGAGCAAGGCCTGAAAAGTACGGGGAAAGTTCAGTTAGAGGACATGAGCACAGGAACAAACAGGGTATCTGCGGTCGGCCACCTGGCCCCAGAACAGGGAACTAAAAGGTCAGAAAAACAACTTGTACCCTAGATAAGAGCCAAGTCAGCAGGCGTGTCGAGCTCGGGGAAAAACCACGAACTGTCCTGAGTTTGAACCTGGCCTCATATGAATCGTCCAATCAGAACCCTGTAAACCATGGCCTCATATGAATCGTCCAATCAGAACCCTGCAAACCATGCTTCTTGCTTCTGTACCCGCCCTTCTGCTGCCCGACCATATAAAAACCCTCCACTCCAGCCCGTGGGCGCGCCAGCCTCTTGAGCCTCTGGAGTGACTGTGTTGCCCCAGGTACCCGTGTTACTGAATAAAGCCTCTTGCTGTTTGCATCTGACTTGTGGTCTCGGTGTGATCTCTGGGCGAGGGTCTCTCCAGAGGGAAGACTACCTTCGGGGGTCTTTCACTTATATCTTAAATTAACCCATTTCTAGCAATCTATAAGTTGCCACGTGGCTCATGGCTTACCGGTATCTTAACATCAGCTTCTCATCGTGGCGGCTGGCGGCGTCTCTCTGCCTCAGCCTTCCACTTCCCAGAATTCTCCTCTCTCCTTGCCCCGCCTACACTT